TCACCGAAAAAGTAAAAATACTCTGTATGTTTACTTTCACTCTATTAAATAAAGGCTGAAGTAGACTGAAAAAGAAATATAATGTTGTTTTTAGTTGGCCATTTTGTAACCATGTACGTCCTCGTTCAAATCGACAATTGATGATAAGAAAGGAAACATCTCATACGAATATAAATATTTGAAGATGAATAGGAGATTTTCGAAGTTATTCATATGAAATATCCTTCGTAAATATCGACAGATAAGTAATATCTTTACAAGGAACAAAATGTGAAGAGAAGAAGAAGAAAATCTCTGAAACTCTAGGCATCACTATTTGTAAATGAAAACGCAGAATGATTCACAATCCACGTTCGAAACTATATCTAATGTTAAGTTAGAAAATAAAGTTTTTAAACAAACTAAAATAGTTCAATTTGATTCTTCGTCTCATATATTGATCTTAAGGAATTAACAATTTCAAATAGCGATGGGTGTGAGTGTGGGTGAGTCGATCTTCTTTTCAGTTGCACGCACCCACACCCACATCCTATTGTTTTTGCGTGTATCAATTGCACGATGACATTAAACATAAAATCGCGACATTAAAAACGTAAAGATCGAGGGCACGAACAAATATAGCAAATTCTTAGAGAGATGTCGTTATTATACAAATAACATTAATCTATTGGGATATGTTTTTTCACCAATCAAACTATGGCCGCCCCTGTTTCTTTGTGTTTTCATGTATTCTCATGAATCATAATGCCAAAAACAAACTAGAATATTGTCTGTAATCGTCAGATTCTCTGTTTCACATCGTAGCTGATAAATCTACGTATACATTCTATCAATTAAAAAAGCAAAAAAAAAATTATCATGTCTTGTTTTCATGCACGAGAAACAAACAGTACAATGCGTCGTGTATCTGTTAGTTCAGCAACATCCAATGATGAAGATTTTATTGATGACGATGATTCAAATGATCGATCAATTGAAACTATCGAAAAACATTCAATAACTCATAATAAAAATAAAAAAACTTTAGGCCGTGTTAAAATCAAAATGGCTTATATCGATAATAAAATACGACGATATACAACGTTTTCTAAACGTAAAACAGGCATTATGAAAAAAGCTTATGAATTAGCTACATTAACAGGTACTGAAGTTATGCTACTTGTTGCTTCCGAAACTGGTAAGACGATTACAAGAAAAGTATTTATTAATAGAAGAATTTTTCTTGTTAAGGTCATGTTTATACATATGCAACAGCGAAATTGCAACCCATGATAACAAGTGAAACAGGTAAAGCACTTATTCAAACATGTTTAGCAAAAGATGAACCCATTATCGAACAAGTAATCGATACTCCAACAACAACAACACTGAATAATAATGATGTTATATTTATTGATGAAAATCAACGAAAAAAGCGATTAAATACTACAACTGACAGTAAGCCTAGATTATGTTATTAAACCATTGTCAATATTTTTTTCAAAAACAGATCAAGGTAACAATACATCGAATGGAACTCGCCCTATAAAACGTGCTAAATTGAAACCGTCCGATGAGCTCACATCATTGAATAAAGCTAAATCGACTGAGAGTTCTAATTCACACATTTTCTCTACTCCTACTCAAACGACAAATTTAACTGTTCCACTACCTTGTTTTATTCAATCCGAACAACATCATCATCAACATCAGACTAATATTCCTCCTTCTTATACTATTGATTTGAATGCGTTAAAAAACAATGGTATGAATATAATTTTTGCACCATCAGCATCGAACTCATCTGATCCTTCGCACCCGTCCAATAATAGTCCTATTGTTTTAACATTGAGCAACTTTTCATATCAACCCAGTTAATCAGGTCAACATATTTTATTTCCTTTTTGTTTTGTTTTCTTTTTATTGTACATAAGATATTCGTACACAGGCATGTATGCACACAAAAAAAAAGAAATAACTGCGTGATCATTATTGGTCATAATAAAACAAAGTTACTTGTAAGAGATTTTTTTGTTTCTTCTTATTTTTCTCTCATTTGTCTACCGTTCGATTTCGATCGGTATGTAAAATAGTATGACAAAAGAACTTTAATCTTCTTGTTGAGTTTTTTTTTTATTTTACTTTTTCTTGAGATCGACAAGGAGAAGAGAAAGACGAACGAGTTAATGTTATAAAGAAGTAGTTGAATGAGAGTGGAAACGAAAAACAAAACATACAAATACCCTATATTGTTTTGCGCACAAACAAACTAATGGACACGTGGTATGCGTTTCGTTTGTTTTGACAATATTTTGAAACAATGTAAGAATAATCGAAAGACATCCGTAGAGTTCATAGTGTTTCTTGTTTTTTTTTCTCAAAAAAATATTTCATAGACATTGATCTTGGGCGTTATTATGTTTTTTTGCGAGATTTAAGAATCTTGTAAAAGCAGAGTCTTAATTTATACGGTAAAAGAATATATCATCTTGATTTATGTTTCTTTTTTTTTGTAGAACTTTTTTTTATGTCTTCAGATTTTTGATTAATCGAAGTATTTACATTTGCATTTTTTTTGAAAAAGGTGAAACGAGATCAATAGCTGATCTCACACATCATCAGCTTATATGCTTTATTTCATTTTCTAGATCAAATTACATTATTGAGATAAGTTTTCTTTATCATTTATCTATTCTTTCTTTTGTGTCTTTCTACGTATATATATATATATGCATACGTATGTATATTCTTTTGCATTTTTTAAAATACCAAAAAAATGACCGCTTATTTGATTTGAACAAAGTTCTTTTTTTTTTCTTCTTCGTCCTATTTCAATTTTAAACATATATAGTAAGTTTTCTTTTAATGTCCTTCATGTCTACGAATACAGTATTTATTGTTATTCTTTAATATGGACATGAGAATCCAGATAAGTTTCAATGTAGGTCTTTTTTTTTCTTCTTTCCTGTTTTTTCTAGATATAAAACAAAATCTTTCTTTTTTTGTTTGTTGGATGAGTAGAAGAAACGAATAGAATGACATTCCGGTGAACATTACACATTCTTCTTATTATAAAATAATGTATTCAAATAATATGACATTGCCGACTTATGGCACTGAATTACCATTTCGTCAAAGTGTCGCCAAAGCTCCATCGGAACGAACTACTCAGGTTAGTAGATTATGCATAATTCGAACATAAAAAATTTATTTATTTTTTTGCTCTCTCTCTCGTATCCACTGTATTGATAACTATACAATTATTGATGATTTGCCGTCAGTCATAGTATCGTTCTTTATATATGCACACTAATGATTAATTTATATCTTGGATCTCGTTTATTATACGTCGATATATGTTGTTATTCTCAGCTGGAGGCTGTTAGATCTGATTAAACAGACATGTTCACCCTTTTCAACTTTGTCCGACATGTGCATATAAAATCTGACGTAATATATCATTATTCATGATCTGAAGTATTATTATTATTATTATTGTCTATATAGTTCCCTTATTATATAAATTAAATACAAAACGAACACTATTTCATATGTGTGTTTTTTTTGTCTTGTTTCTAAACAGGAACAAAAGTAGCACCTGATTGAACATGAGCTAGTGTAACAACTGTTCTTTCATCGTTCATACCAAGAAGCAAAAAAGAAAAGAGTCGAAGATAAGAAAGTAATAATGAAGACTGCTAGCTGTTCCTTCCCTTTCTTTCTCTATTTTTTCTTTGGTCTGCTTGCCTATTCTTCTATTCTATTGACTGACATCACCACCACCATCTGAGATGATTGCTAACTTGTATTGAGTATAGAGAACTATATGGTTAATCATCAGAGTTGGGACATGTACATATTTAGGAGTAGAGGAAAGAAAGAAACAGAAGAGAAGAGAAGAGACGATGAAATCGACTTGCTGTACGTTCATACGCAGAAGTGTATATATACATACATACTCGCTTTCGTCCATTGTCCATATAAATACGTACATAGGTATAGATTTCTTTTTTTTACTGCTTTTTTCCTTTTTCTCTCTTTCTTAGCGGTCAGTCATCTATTGTCCGGCTTTGAAAGTTCAATTTTGAAAATGTTCTAAAGGAAGAAGGAATAGAAAAAGAGAATAAAAGAAAGTCACTTTTACCTTTTTTTTCCTTCTTCTTCTTCTTCTTCTGCCATTTGTTCAAGAGGAAATACAGCAGAAGATACATAAATTTAACAATGTCGCTTGAAATATGCATGATGTCTGTTTCTATAATTTTAGGATTTAACTGTTATTAATGGTTATTTAAGAAGTTTGGAAGCTTTATCAGCACTTCGTGAATCAAATATTCGCCATTTGTGTAAAACAATTCGATATGAAACTTGCGATGCTCATCATGTTTTATTCAGGTCTGCTCAACATTCATTGAATTTTGTCTGTCTTCTTTGTTTTGTTGTTTTGTTTGTTTTCTGTTCATCCTTTTAAACACCGGATGACAACATTCACCCTAGTTTGTTATGTCTGCTATTTGGCGGTAATACTACGTATACATACACACATTCATGTCGATGATTGTACACTCAGATATCTACCATTCATTGTCAGAATACGGTCACGGTTAATTATCTATCTATCTGCCATGATAGATGCGCCATCGTATACTTCATGTCTAAATTGAGATGTTGCGTCATGTACATGAGATGAAATATATATCAAGAGATAATATCCTTGAATGATGCCATACCAAAGCTGCTAAATCTGATGATAGATTATCGATAAACAATAGTTTTCCAGTCTAATGTCCATTGATTTCTAACTGAGCTTCTTTTTACTTGTCAGTTAACTTGACACTTGGCTTCTGCTCCCATTCTTTTACGTTTACACGAAATGAGATGTGTGATTGCTTGTTGTAGTGCATGCATGCATATATTCGTGTGATCGAGCGTTCACAAGAGAGAAAAGCGACACTAAGGACAGAGAGGTACATGCAAACATACATACACATATACATACCAAAAGAGTAGCAATGACAGAATGTTCACGTTGTATACACATTTTTGTTTTAATCGTAATACTCTTTTTCTTTTTAGTCGCGGGGAACTAAATACTTGCTGGTATATTCTTTTATCCGGTTCTGTTTTTATTGAATCTACAATGTATTTACCAAGAGCCAGGTAAGAAGAAAAATAATAAAATCATAAATTTCATTTTCGATTCTTAATCATGATCTTCGATGTTTTTATGTATCCTTTGAGACCCAAAGAGAAACAGAGACCAGATCACTTTTTTTTGTTCGTCTTTCATGTTTATTTGTTAACCTTGTTCGTTCGTTCTTTCTTTCTTTTTTTCTTCTTTTTACCCTGCACATACTATTACTACTACTACCACTACAACTACTCCTGCTATACTAACACCATCTCACTCATTCTCTCATCACTACACATCTACTGTTGTCCTTGAACAGATCGAGCGACATTTACTTGTATATACATATATATATATATATATATATATATGACATAATCGTTCGTCTTTTTTTTCTTCTTTTCAACAGTTTTGGTAAACGAACTCCTAGTAATCAATATCGGATCAATGAATGTGTTATACTTGAACCATCGGAAATGCTTGTTGTAAGTAGACATAGCTTGTTATTTTCTTCATCATTAAAAATGCTAATATGAAGAAAAAAAAAATCACCTTTAGTCACACCTTGATACATTTTGCATTACTCTTTTCAGTCGTTTTTTTTTCTTTCATTTCGTATTTTTTCTTAAATAGATTGATTATCCCGAGCTCGATCACGCTGTCCATAGTCACGAATCATTGAAGCGTATCGGTTGTCAACATAATTATCAACACGAACAACCCATAGTTTCAGTTGAAGAACAACAAAGTATTATAGTAGATCCTAGCACAACAATGTCCATTAATCGGAAAAAAAATCCACAAAATAAACATGTAAGAGTAATTGACAGACGAATAAGTGAAAATTCTAAGTTTTCTTTGCTTTTCATTTTCTAGCGTTCTATTATAACGACGAACATGAACGATATTCATCCGTCAATGACTCGCAGTTCGCATTCTCGTGCTAGTGACACATCAAGTGCTTATTCTGGATCAGATGTTATGCAATCATCAACAAATGGTGAAGATAGTTTATTGACAAATAATGGAGATAATTGTTTAGGACAGAATGATGACGGCGGATTAAGCCGCTGTATAAGTATTCATGAAACCGACGATGAATCTGAAACATCATCAGAAGTAAAAATTTCAATATTTAATTCATATTTCCAAAATTAATTTCATGTTTTTTTATTTTTTTTTATTTAGCATTCGTTTCCTCTTCATGATCATATACGTGAATCATTATTAAAAGATGCAAATGAACGTACTGATGATGATATTGAAGCAATTCTCGAATGTCTTATTCATTTCCCGGTAAGATTTTAAAAAATATTTTTTTTTGGTTAAACAATAATTTCTTTGTTTTGACTACTTGAGGATAGTTGCTTAAGGACAGTAGTAGTGATGTACTCAAGAACGGTTGGCGTTCTAGTTATCTTCATTAGAAATTCATGCTATTTTATCGATATCGATTTCCATAGAGACTAACATTGTAGTACAATAGCGAGTTCAATTTATTTCTTCAAGATATCAACTTAAGCTCATGTCAAAACCTTGTTACTTTCACCTAGTTCATAAATCTTGCTAATAGTCGATTAATCTTACCTTAAAATGAAAACATAATTCAAAATAGTAAAAACTATCGAATGATAAAAAACCTTCGCGCTTTGTATTATGCAAGTTTTTTTGTTTATTCTATTTTTTGCTCTTCAAAAGGCATTCGCTAATTTAACATTACATGTTCGACGTGAATTGTGTAAAGTGCTTGTTTATGCTCAAGTTGAAAAGGCTCAAACTGTTGTTATGAATGATGGTGAACGTTATGATTCTTGGTCAGTTATTATAAATGGTACCGTCGATGACGAAACGCTTGATGGACAACTTATACGTACATTAATTGTTGGACAAAGTTTTGGCTGTGGTCCAACGCTTGATCAATACTGTCATACGGGTATTATGAAAACTCGTGTTGACAATTGTCAATTTGTTGTCGTCGCACAAAATGATTATTATGCTATATTAAATCAAGTAATTGCCGTGCTTATTTAATAGTAAAAGATTTTAAATTTAATTTTACTTAGGGAGAAAAAAATATTCGAAAAATCGAAGAAAATGATAAAATCGTTATGGTTAAAGAAATCCGTATGAATGAAGATGAACAAAATATACCACGTGAAATAGTTATAAAAGTATTGATTTCATTTTTGTTATTCATTGAATTTCAAAAATTTTCTTTCTTTTTTAATTTTTAGGCAACAACTGAAAAACTACTTGATTTACTTGTTGATGAGTTACAATTAACAAATGATCCAAATTATGCTCAAGATTTTCTTTTAACTCATCGAACATTTGTTGACAATCCAACAGTCATAACAAATAAATTACTGGATTACTTTGATAACAATAGAAATTCAGCATCGTGCGAACACATTGCACGTGTCGTTCTATCATGGGTCAACAATCATTATAATGATTTTGAAACAAATACAAAATTATACGAGTTTCTTGAAATATTCGATGATCGATTACAAAATCATGAATTAGAAGTAACATATTACAAATAAATAAAATGATTATTTAACTGTTTGTTGTTTTTCTTCTTCTTCTTCTATAGCATATTCGATCATGGAGACATTTAATCAATTTAGCGTGCTTTACAAGAGCCAGCATACGTCATATTACTTTAACACGATCAACACGCGATGATGTTTTGAATTTTAATATACTCGGGGGAACTGATACATTAGCGAACAATGGAATATTCGTATCGAAAGTTGAAAAGAATTCAAAAGCTTATGAGGCAGGATTACGGCGTGGCGATCAAGTAAGTTCACGATGTTAAAAATGACGCACGTAAAAAAATTATTAGAGCGAATATTTGACATGTAGGCTATAAATAAACGAAGGATAATATTCAATCAGTTTCTTAATCACTGAAAGTTTAACATGTATTGTTATTGAGACAATTTGACAGTCTATTGATCTGTAGTGTTGTTCATTTAGCGAAAACAATTTTCTTTGTCTTCTTTTTGTCAGAAAAATTTCGATTAACCTTGACAAAATCACAATGCTTTAAAATGTACAAATATCTACATCTCAACTTTAAAATAATAGAATTCGATTATTGACAATTTTTAGTGGAAGCCCTAGAAATTTTCAATGAGCTCTTTATATCGTTTTGTATTTGTTCTTTGTTTCATAGATTCTCAGTGTTAATGGACAATCGTTCGATTATCTAACTCATGTTCGTGCACTTGAAGTTCTTCGTGGTACGACGCACTTATCCTTAACTCTAAAAAGCAATCTAATGGGTATTTAAATTTGTCTATATTTACTGTCTTGTAATAATCTCATAATTAATTTTAGATCTCAATGATATTGTTCATCCGGAAAAATCTCCTGGTCGTAAAAAACGTCATGATATGCCGTTTTATGAACAAGAAATTCGAAATCGATTAAATAATTTATCTCCTATATGTTCGGTATCGACGAGTCCACCAGCAACAAATAATTCATCGTCAATAATAATAATGAATAGTCCATCGGATTCTTTTACATCTGATTATTCATCATCAACTAATCAAATTCGTCCACCATTAACAACAATAACTCCCACAAAAAATAATCTTACACCATATACAGAAAAAACTAAGCCACGTCCATTAACGAAACGTATGGGCTTTAAGCGTGCCGTTATGCAAAAATTTAAAATGACAAAACATAACAGGTAAACGAAAATTAAAGTCTTACAGTCCTATCTAAATTTCTCCATCGCTTAAACCATGTACATAGACCAACAATAGAATTGATTGATATCATATTCCAGACAACTAATAAATTGATATCAAGATCTGTTCGAATAAGGCCTTCAATAGGCGGAAGAAAACAGAAATAAAAATCAATCATATTATTTTCTTTTCATTATAAATTATTTACCGCTATACATTATTATTGCCATAATATTTGTAATCAACCATAAGATATATTGTTCCCAATAGCATAATATGAGTAAAAATTGTGCCACAACACTTATTGCGTTTGTTGATGCATCGAGTATATGAGGTAAACGGGAACTTTCGAAAAAATATTGTGATGTTAATAGTTTCGAAAATGCGGGAATTTCATAAAAAAATACAACGCCAAGTCCTATGCTTAGTAAAATAACGACAATCCAACCAAACCATTTTAACGATTTAACACGTGTGGTAGATTGATTATCTAATTCTTTCGACCACATGTATATACCAATGAATTGCATGGGTAAAAAAAATAATGCATATAATTGAGCATCACCAACATAACCGTATGCAAATGAAAATGCACCATAGATTATAGCACCAATAACACCCCAAAAGTAGGATGAAAATTTGCCTCGTATGACTAATACAACATAGAGAACATTGACGAAAGCGGCAACACCAGATAGACATAGTAAAATACGACGCCATAAAGATACATTATCTTTAAGATCATTTCTCCATTTTAATATTGAACTCTTGTTTTTATATGGAAGAAATGAATTAAAATCCTGTGAGCAGCGAAAAAAGAAAAAAATTTTTAGTCATTTTAAACGATGAAAAAAAACTTACCAAAACTGAAAAAACAACACTAAATGTAGCATAGAGAGCAAGTAGTAAAACTTGCCACCATTTGAAAGATATTAAATCGGGTATTATCGATTGGAATACCAATTTTAAAAGGTTTAGATAATTTTCAATAAAACGTTTTATTTTATATGAACGAGAATGTTTAGTATATTCTGCTAGAATACTATTATTTTCACTGCTATCAATGTTAATAGTTGATGCACTTTCGGCTAGTTTCTTCTTCATTGCTGAATTGGGATCGATTTTGTCTGTTAATTCTAATGATGTTGCATTCATTGTTACCATCGATATCGGTGGTAATGAAACTGATAAGGGTTGCTTTTGTTCTTTGTCATTGGACTAAATGAATATTAAGAAAATAAAGTTTAGTATACAATCTTATTTTTAGAGATTTAGAGAAAGACTACCATAGATTGTTTCTTGTCTTTGTTCATCTATTAAAATAAAAGTATAGTATTACTTTAACATCAACTATGAAAAATGTGTAATAAGAAACAATTGAAGTGAGTCTTATTTATAAGCGACTTTTTATTGGTCGTGCATGCATGCAGAAAAAATGGACATTTAGAAGCTTATTTGTTGCTATGGCCAGTCAATTTACCGTCACTTTTCTTTGTCAAGTCACTTGCAGCTATGACCTACAAGTCGATTGAGAAAGAAAGATGAAAGTAAAAACGAACTGCTCTAAGTAACAAAGAAGTTTGTATTGGTCCACTTTTTCTGCACATGTGCGTGTGGTCAATAAGTGAGCAGCAAAAAAGCTTCTTATATGAATCATATATTTTAACTCTATAGTACTTCAATAAAAGATACTGCTGATCTAATAACAAACCTTGAAAATAAAAAGTGTTGATTTTTTCACAATGACAATCATTCTTATAAAAATTCTATGTTCATTCGTAATGGATCATCTAATTGTATAGATGATAAATTAACGAAAATTTAATTGATCTAAGAATTTTATAATCGAATCGAATTAGATCAAAAACAACAATTAGAAGAATTCGTTCTATTCAACAAAATTCTAAACTCAAACAGTCTTTAGTCTAGTTTAAAACATAGTGTAGAGACTCAATGACTATCTCATCTATACTTCACATCATTTAATTCTAACAATACGATTAGTATGGATATTGTTATGCTTATCACTTGCGTGCGTGCTCGTCGGAATGTAAAATAAATTTTCCCTATATATCAATGATTATCTTATTTCTAAATACGAAAACAAAAAGGAAAATACGTTTCTCTTGTTTATATTAACACTTCTTTTTTGTTTGATTTTTTTCAGGTCAACAAGGTAAAGTTAATTATTTTGTTTTCGACGTTTGTCCATATCACACAAAAAAATGTTTTTTTTTTTTGCACTAAACATTCTCATCGTACACCTGCTTTATTTATATTTTCAATGAATATCACGAATCTAAATGATTTTCGTTCATAATTCTTTTCCTACCATATTATTATTGCTTGTTACTTGTGTCATCTTTGATAAAAAACGATTGCAGATTTTTGTTTTTCAACAAAACAAATGAATGAAACTTCTGATCGCTATTTGCTCTATTAGACGAGCATGCCAAATATAAATGGCAATAAAGGATTTCGATAGAAACACTATGACCTTTGTTTTATTTTATTTTATTTTTGTTAAAGCAAATCAATAATTGACTAATATTAATCTTATTTCAAAATTTTCGTCTTTTTCTCATTTCAGTGAACTTGATTCAATTGATAATGATAATGTTTTGGATTCGAGTGTTCTATCGTTACAAGCAAATAGACTTTTTAATCGAAGTACAAGTAATCCAGATTTATCTCCATCATCAATTAGTAGTAAATCAATGTCTTCATCAACAAATGCACCAATCAATGATGACAACTATTCACCATTTGTTATTAAAGTTTACCGTAGTGATCAATCATTTAAATACTTTCCTTTGCATAAGGTATGAAAATGAAATCGTTTATGTTTAAAAAAACAACAACAATATTATTTTCTACAGGAAACCACTGCAAAACAAGTTGTTATGTTAGCTATCAGTGAGTTCGGTATTGTCGATCCAAGCAGGTAAATAGAAACATAATCAGTACAAATTTTTTAATCTGCTATTTATCAATGAGATTAGTCTGATTTTTGAATTTAATGCTCGTCATCTTTCTAGTTATTCGTCTTCTCGCGTAGAGTTTGATCTACTCCGGTAAGAAATAATTTCTCAAGGGATCGGGAAAACCTTTCTTTTCTTTTTCTTTCTCTTTGCTTTTAAAAACTAATGAATAAACTTCTAAAAACAAGCATGTTTTGGGTATTATCTATTATGGGTTACATAGGTTACGCTATATCTTTTTTCCTCATTAAGGGATGATGTCTTCTACGATGATGCGTAAGTTTATCCTCTATATATTCTCTTGCTCCACTATTTGCTCGTTTACAGCAGATTCTACTTTTTAATCACTTGTCACACATGACATTCACAATGAAAGTATCGATTGCTTTCTTTTTCTTTATTATTTACTTAAAAATGTTCTTACAATCAAATTTGAATATATATAATCCAGATCGAATTCGCATGCTTCCTTCCTAAGATTATATGAATCCATTTTAGTCATACGATACAAATATCCATCGGATTGTATAATGATCATAGAGATTTAAGTTAGATGTCAATAATCGAGATACTCTATTAAAAGTATCCAGGATCTCATAATATACCTGGTTAGCAAGCACCGGCCAATGTTTATCGCTTTGACTGCAATCGGAACTTGAGGTCTATATTCTACTACTTTTCTTTTTAACATACAAACATTATGATTTTCATTATCAATGAATATTAAAACGAAAAATAGCTTGCTGATAACAAGTTTTCTATATCAGTTGAATTGTAGAATGCAACACACTTGCTCGATCTCAATGCTTAATCACTTATTATTTCAATTATCACAGAGCTCCTTACACTTCTTAAATGATTTTTTTTCAAATCCGCCAGAATGCAATTTCCTTCTCTCCAAATATATTTTTTTCTCTGTTTTTCGAAAGCAAATTCTGCATTGCTGAACTAAATTCTTACATTTTCTTAAGATGCTATTCATTATGTGAAGTATCATTTGAACATAATGCTATTAAACAAAAACGTTTGCCTGATCATATTGATAATTTACCAGAGCGTCTTCCAATAAATGCTCGTTACTATTTAAAAAATAATCATTCAACAGAAACACTCGTTCCGGATCATTTATCTAATGAGTTATTACGTGAAGGACGCACTAGTTTCCTTCAATTGGATTCATTAGAAATATGTGCACAATTAACTTTACGTGATTTTGCTTTATTTAAATCTATTCAAACAACAGAATATATCGATCATGTATTTAAACTAAAATCTGGATATGGTATACCTCAACTTGAAAAATTCCTTAAATTACCAAATGAAGAAATGTATTGGACAATCACAGAGATTATGCGTGAAAATAATTTAGTACAACGTTCAAAAGTTATTAAACATTTCATTAAAATTGCCAGTATGCAAAATATTTCTTTCGCAAACAAAAATAAGTTCGCTGTGGGTTCTTTTTCTCGTTTAGAATGTTGCAAAGATATGAAAAATTTTAATTCAATGTTTGCTATTGTTAGTGGACTTGATCATAAGAGTGTACAACGTTTACAATCTACATGGGAACGTGTACCTGATAAACATAAAAAAACATTTGAAGTAAGTTTTATCATCGGTGTATAAAGATAAAAATAGAAGAATCATACAATGAGACAGAGCAATACTCTTTTTCTGTTGGATTTGACTAGAATATTAGGTAGGAATATTTTTGTATAGGTTTATTATTCGAATCATACCTTATCTCAGATGATTATTTGAAAGTATAGTTTTCTGTTCGAATTATTTTTAGAATCACAAGTACATCATTAGATAACAAATTAGAAAAAAAGAAATATAATTTTCATAGCGTCTGCGAAATATGAATCTAAATTTTTTTTTGCTTGAATAGATTCGAGTTCATTCGCTGTACTGAAAGAGTTTAATATTGTTTTCAAATTTAAAAAATAGAACAAGGCTCTTCATCATAGCGAGACGAATCCAGCTTGAAAAAAAGCCGACGGAATAGGCGGAGAGAAAAATAAAACTTCGATTCAATATGAAAAATTAAAAGAAAACGTTGCCAGACAAACTCGACTGATTGTTGCAGTTTGGCGTAATACATTTGTAGACTACTTCATGTTATGAAATTCAATACAAAATAATAAATCGTAGACGCATTCATAAGTTTTAAAAAATTGTTTGAATATAATCATTTACCACTTATGGATATCCGCAGGAATATACACTTTCATGTTTATTATTAAAACCTTGAAAATCATATTCAAGAAGGTCGCTAAATGACTGATCTTTTTTTGCGATAGACCTTGACAATGTGAACACTTTTACAATACAATAAATCTTGAGAAGATAATCTATATTAGTCCACAGGATTTACTATCATTATTGTCATAATAGATCGTTGGATTGATAAATAAAATTAAACATTTTTTATTTGATACAAATCGAATTCTTTCTTTCTTTTTGTTATTATTTAGGAATTGAAATCTCTACTTGATCTATCTCGAAATATGTCTGTCTATCGAAACTTATTGAAAAATGAATCCGTCGTTCCACCTATTGTGAGTAATCAACGATTCATTATGAAATCGATCACATTATTGTATGACTCGTTCTAGATTCCCATGTTTCCGGTGTGTATGAAAGATTTGACATTTATTAATTTGGGAAATCCAACTCAAGACGATGGCTTAGTAATTTATCAGAATAAAAAATTCCTATAAATAAAAAAACATGTTTTTTTCTTTAGATTAATTTCGAAAAGCTACGAATGATTGCCAAAGAAATTCGACAAATTACAAATATGGCATCTTCCCCTTATGTAAAAAAATTATTGTTTAAAAAAAGCAAAGAAACTTTAATAAATAATTTTTTTTCCCTATTAAGGATATTTCAAATATGTTCGATTCACCAACATCTCATTCACAAATATTTGCTGGTTTCGGGCATCAATCATCAACGGATTCGTTTGGCACAATACGAAGACATCAAACATATAATCGAGTGTCTTCTGTTATTTCAAATGCTAAACGAATTTATGATGAAGTAAAAATAAATTCAGTTTTGAAATAGATTGTAAATCTAAATTTCTATTTTTAGTCATTAATGGTTAAGAAAGTCAAAACTTATTTAAATAATGCTGAAATAATCGACGACGAAAATCGTCTACTAGAGTTCGCCAATCAATTTGAACCAGGTACGGACTGAAGTTTTTATTGTGAAAGTTGAACAAAAACAAAACATAATGAATAATAATCAGAACGATTATTTCAAAATATAAAAATGAGATTTCTTTTTCTAGCTTTTCATTTTTTTGAGCATACAAATCAAAAAATAACTGAATTTGGTGAGAATATAAATATATATTGACGAAAAATTGAACAGCATGTTCTTATGATAGCACCAAATGTATGCGCATGATGGTTTTTTTAATTTAATTTTGATATATATATATATATATATATGTTTTAAATGTTTCAAACATTGAAAATATATGCACGATTATTTCCTTTAGTTGCATTAGGAGGCATACCTGCATCCCCATCGATATCACTTTCTAAAGTCTCAGCGGTCGTTGATGAAAGTGAATTTTGCATTGGGAATACACCAAAAATTTCAAGAGTAAAAGAAGAACACCATGATGTTGATAATGAAAAACATCCTGCAATTACGAAAATTGAAGGCAAACATAATAATCGTAATAGACATCTTATATTACGTCCGCATTCATCGCCATCAACACTCAGAGCATTCAAAACTGCTCTTTACCATGGTATTTGAGCTGAAAATACATAAAATAAGAGCCTCTAACGTTCTTATTCACTAAGCGTCAACCAGTTTGCTGCTTGCTCATTATTTATTTTAATCATATAAATTTATCTCAAAACTGAATGGCTGCTAATTCGCGTTTTTTTTGTTTCTTCCTAATTTAGTGAGCACACTTAAACGCCGTCCTTCACCATCAACATCAAGTTTATCATCTAATTCATCATGTGATCGTCGTGCTGCTCCTATACAACTGACGAAATTCGGTATGTAGAGTTTTACTACTGCCTTTTTTAATAGAAGATTTTTCAATGTCTTCGAAAAAAGGAACATTTCTTATTTTGCTTTCTTTCGTTTAGGAAGTTTCTCAGGTAAAAACAATATAATCTGGGATATTTGTGTACATGCTTTTTGTCAGTTATATTCGTCTTTGCACAGGAGTGTCACGAAGGTTGTGGGTTTATGACTCGGGAGAGGTCTTGCAAATGATTAATGCTTTTTGAGTCGAGGTTGTGTACATTACATAAGTCCAAGTAACTTATGAATGTTTTAAATAGACTTCATGCTCACAGTGAATTGTTACTGAGATAGTGCACTCTCGTGATAGTTCTATGTTAAGTTTCACATAGATATTCAAAAGATAGTTCTACAATATTCACTTAAAAATGATCATAAAAGTGCACTATCTTTTCTGCAATTAACTTCAACCTTAAATTCTTTTCTGATGTTCGAAACTCATTTGAATCTTGATTCGGAAGTAATTTCTTACTGTTACTACTTGCCCTTTTCCACTTGAAGCACATCTGTTCCCGCACGTTGTTGGTTACCTGTTACTATGTTTACATGTTTTTACAGAAAAAACCAAAACTGATACTAACTATTTTCTTTCTTCGGATATTTTCAGGTACACAATCACCGGACGCTGTGAATAAACTACTTCGTCTATCAGACAGTAGCCATCAAATTAAAGCTCGTGCGCCACAACGACCTAATCAACCACCAGCATCGTCTAATACGTCTAGTACTTCAACAGCCAATCCAACATCGCCAATAATCAATAATATAACAACATCAACGGGACTTTCATCATTTGCTGAGCCAAGTCTTCCTCATCGTCATCAACATCTAGCTAAAATGCGTGACACAAATAAGTTAACAAGTGAAAGTTCAAGTTTAAATTTCAAACCACCAACATCAACATCCTATTCACAACTTATAAGATCTCATACTCGTAAGTTATTAAACACAGACAAGAATAAACGAGGAAACATCGGATTCGCATTCGATTGTTATGCGTACTGCAAAAACTGAGTCGATTTCTTGACGGATCCTTCTCTTTTTCGAACTCGACAGAGATATTGATGAGATCCTTCTGTGTACAAAATTTCAAGACAATTGGATGAGGCTTTCAAGAGTTATCGCGTTAACGGCCAGACACACTGGCCGAATCTAGCGCACTCACTTTTTGAGTACAGAAAAAAAGAGAAATTAAACAATTTTTTTTCATTTGCAGACATCAATCAGAATAATAATGAATTAACTAAAGAAATTGGTGGTGATTCTGGACGCGGTAGTCTTAACTCCACTGATACTTGTATGTTAACAGAAAATCTTCTCGAAGTTTATCTTGATTTTAATTTTCATTCATACTTTAGGTGTTGGCGATGGAAGTGAAAAATCATCTAGTACGATTGGTGATGGCTTTTCATCCGTTAAAATTCGAAATAGACCTCCAATACCTCAATCTAATTCTGTCACATCGTGTAACAAAACATTTTATATAAGTATGCAAATAATGATTGATTTTGTTTTCGGATTTAATAGCTCGTCATGATGGTGCACAAATGCCAAAATTGATGCGTAATTGGCTACAACGTTCTCAATCTGAAAACGAAGTGACTACAACTGATGTAGCTGATCGAGGTAACTATTAGCTATTGAGATGCAGACAGTGTATATTTTATCAATTTAAAGGCACTTTTCGTCGATCAGATTCTATGTAAGCATTGGTTTTTTGTGTAAAAACAAAACGGACACCGAAATGTTTGCGAAGTTAATTCTATTAACTTCTGGTTTTTTTTTCTATGAATTTTGTCACAAAAAAATCACCCGTTTTACCCTTAAGACATGCATTTGTTTGTTTATTTTTATTAAAATAATTTGCCGTCTTTTTTTCTTTTGTTTTAGAGGGAACAGCAGTCGATTTCGACGAACATGAACAAGTGACAGCTGTCTAAAACTGAGTGTACTAATTTGTTTGTATATTGTGGCCCGGTGCCCTTTTTCATTCTTCGGTTCTTTTTTAATTTCTTTTCTTCGAACAGTGAGTTACATGCGTAGTTGCACATAAAAAAATTCATTATTATATTGTACATTTTTGTGTGCTTTGCATTTTCTTCTCTATTGCGTTCATTTGTTTTTTTTTGTCTTTTGTTTTTATATTTTCCTACTGATTCACTTTATGTTACTCGATGCTCAATAGTTTCATTTTGCTTATATTCTCTATTCTACCGATCTGATTCACTTTTGTTTTCTTCTTCGTCTATATCAACGTAGTCGTATTCGTTTGCTAGGTTTATACGTTATATAATGCTTGCTTTTCATTTCTCATTCAAACCCGAGTTTATACTTAGCCACGCGATTCAATATGTCGCCGATTTCTTTCACCAATTCTTATCATCGGTTGTCAGATGTGCTGCGCTTGTATTTTCTCGTTTTTTTCGTTTTTTCTTTCTATTAAGAACAAAAAGAAAACGAACGGTTCAAAGGTTAACATAAATTTTGTTTTTGTTGCTTGCGAGTAGAGGTAACTGTGATAATAAGATGTGGTCCAGAAATCTATATTCGAGCTAAAATGATCTGTTATTGTTGAATGAAAACGGAACTAAAGCTTTACTCGCTCAATCTTGATGTCAATTGTTTTATTGTGAAATCTATTTATTATTAAATACTCAAACGCTTTTTTCTGTGTTATATTTTCGCTTGTTTACTATTTATACAACATAGCGAGCGTATGTCTTGTACCATCGCATGTATTTATGTGTTTATTTGTCTAGTTTTCTCTTCTTTTTTTGTTTTGTTTTTGTCGTCTGTCATCAGAATATGAAATCGTGTGTGAAATAAAAGAAAATAAAACAACAAAAATTCATAGCAACCGTGGGTACTATTTATGTGAAGGCGAAAAGATGAGATAAAAAAAGCACCTGAGCATACATTGGTGGTTCGATCATCGCGCTACTTTTATCTTTTGAATAAAAGCTTCAGCAAACGTTTTTCTTGATACTCATTTTCAATTCGTTCGAATATTTTCTTTTCAGACGAAAAACTATGTTGAAATTATTTGTTCTCGTTGCACTGACATGTTCAATAAATTCAATATGGGCAGGAACACCATTCAAAGATTGCGGATCAGAATTAGCTACAATTCAAGAATTTGAAGTGACTGATTGTCCAACAGCTCCTTGCAAATTTATCAAAGGCAAAACATACGCAATGAATTTAACACTCACAGCCAAAGCTCCATCAAAAACAGCTACTGTTACCCTTCACGGTAAAAAAAGCTATAAATCTATTATTCTTTTATTTTAATTTCTTTTTGTCACTGTGCTTGTAAGGTGTGATTGCCGGAGTTCCAGTTCCATTTCCATTACCTGATTCAAATGCTTGTAATTTGGGTGTTAAATGTCCCATCGGTCAAGGTGATATTAATCTAGCATCATTCTCACTACCTGTTTTAACCACATACCCATCGATTTCATTATATGTTAAACTCGAAATTAAAGCTGATGATCAAAAGCAAGATTATGTTTGTTTATTGTTTCCAGCAACAATCACAAGTGGCGCAGCGAAAACAAAAAATTTAGTTCAATGGAAAAAAGGCAAATTATTCGAAATGATTTAAATTGAAAAGTTGCTTCGTGTTTATTTTTCGTTTTATTAGTTACAAAAAAATAACATGAAAAAATCACCTTCGGGCATATCTCAGTTACTCTAGGTTCGCTTGTCTTTTCAATTATTTACTAAAGATTTTTCGGTTGTGTGTAGCTTGTTATCTTTGATATAAAAAAAAACAGACAATCATCATCGTCCACTATCACTTTTGTACTGATGACATCATAGATGTACGTTTATTTCAAGTTCACTTCTATTTTTATTTCGCTAATAAAATCGAATTTTAACAGCTGTATTTACTCACATATGGTGCATGTAGGCATAGTGATCGAGCACAAAATAATTATTTTTTTCTATGTATACACTAACATTATTTTGTTTTGCTCGCCTATGAAATTGATGCTTAACTAGAAATTACATACTTCACTATCAGAATTTTATGGTAGAAGTTTTTGAAAATAGAGAATAACATTTAAAAGCATTTGACTGCAGTCTCAAGAAATACGAACGTATGAGCTATATTATTTTTCGGCGTTTTACCGAATATAAGATTAACTAAGAAAATAATAATAATAAAACATTTCGAGTTTATGCTAAAGTAAGAACTAAATATTAATTTAGAAATGATATTTGGCACACGAAGTAGTATTCTATCATTTGTTATTGGTGATGGTAACTTCTATAAGTGTGTAATACGTAACACCTTGATCTCCTACCTTTAATAATTGCGCACGATTCCATTCAAAATAAATAGAGGGAAAAAAGCAGATTCTTTTTATCAACTACGATATTTATTTAAACTGAATGATCATTTATAAAAATTGATAAAACAATTGAAACGAGTAACTATTGGGATTCTTACTAACGTATTAGATTACAAAGCTTAACATTCACCAAGGGGTCGATGTTTCTTCTTATCCAATAGGCGCACTTTTGGGGAGAGAAAAAAATAAATATAGATGACATTCTCTAATTGTTTGAAACAATGCATTCGTTTTTAAAATATTGATTCTTATCATACCGATGGGGCCTACAGTATCTTGTCGTCATTCGATTGTAGTATGCACACTAGTAGCAAATGAGACGAACTTTATATATATATATATATATATATATCCTCATTTCAGATAACATGGCAGTTAGTTTAGATGATAAATTTGAAAGTTTAGAATCAATTTTAGCTCAACATCTACCAGCAGATGTACTTCAAAAAGTAAATTTATCTCTTCGTGGGTCAGGTTCAATGTAAGTGTAAATCATTTGATTCATAGTTAAAAATTATTTGTTTTCTTGTGTAAATGAAGTGAAGTTGAACTACCTGCGAATGCAAAAGAAACAGCTAAACAACTTAATTTTGATCTTCAAGGTTATCAAATAAAAGTAGCACTGACTGAACAAACACGACCATCACGTTTAGTTCGTATTGGTGCTATTCAAAATATGATTCAAAAACCAACTACAGCTACTGTCAAAGAACAAGTATTACAATGAAAAATTCTTCTTGAAAACATTAGATAAATATTTCTTTTATAGAGAGATGCTATTCATCAACGTATTGATCAAATGCTTGCTGTTGCGCATGAATGCCAAGTAAATGTTGTTGGTTTACAAGAAGCATGGAGTTTGTGATTCTGGACTATAATTTTCATCCATAATAACAATGATTCGATCGTTTTTGTTTGTAGCTATGCCATTTGCGTTTTGCACACGAGAAAAATATCCATGGGTTGAATTCGCTGAATCTGCCTATGATGGACCATCAACAAAATTTCTTGCCGAAGTTTGAATTTCTTATTGAAATTTTTATTTGAACTTTGTAAAAATTTAGAGAGCAAAAAAATATAATATGGTTATTATTAGTCCAATATTAGAACGTGACGAAGCACATGGTGATGTTTTATGGAATACAGCAGTGATTATTTCGAATCATGGAAATGTTATTGGTATAACACGTAAAAATCACATTCCTAGAGGTAAAAATTTATCGTTCTAATTTTGAAAATGTAATTCAACATTATTTCTTTTGTTTTTGTTCTAGTTGGTGATTTTAATGAAGTAATTTCTGTTGAATGAATCGATCAATGCATATATGCGTAGTTTGAATTTTTAATTTAGTCAACTTATTATATGGAAGGTAACACTGGTCATAAAGTGTTCGAAACAGATTTCGGTAATTTTGGGTTTTTTCATCGTATTTTTGATGACGAATGTCTATTTACTTTTATCAAGGTCGTATTGCGGTAAATATTTGCTATGGACGTCATCATCCACAAAATTGGCTTATGTATGGAGTCAATGGTGCAGAAAGTAAGTTTGAATTTCAAATATTCGAAAGTAAAACGTTTGCTTTAGTTGTTTTTAATCCAAGCGCTACTGTTGGAGCACTTAGGTAAGAATAGACTTAGTTAGAAAGACTAAAATTTTTACTTTTTTTTGTAAATATTTTAGCGAACCTTTGTGGAGTATCGAAGCTCGTAACGCAGCTATTGCGAATAGTTACTTTACAGTAGGTATTAATCGTGTTGGAACTGAAACATTTCCGAATGAATTTACAAGTGGTGATGGCAAACCAGCTCATACGAGTTTTGGACATTTCTATGGTGAGACTTCGATGTCGGGAGCAAGAAAATATTATTTCGTTTGTTGTAGGAAGTAGTTATGTAGCATCGCCTGATGGTAGTCGAACACCTGTGAGTTCTCTTCTTGGAAAATAAAAATAGAATCTTGAGGGTGTGATTTTCAATTCTTGTTTTTTTCTTTTCTTAGGGTTTATCTCGTATTCGTGATGGACTTTTGGTTACCGAATGTGACTTGAATTTATGTCGTCAAATGAAAGATAAATGGGGCTTTCGAATGACACAGCGTCTCGATTTATATGCTGAAAGTTTTGCTCGAGCTATTCAACCAAACTATCAAATGGATATTGTTAAGGATTCAAGCTCCACAAAATAATAATTTCTATTTACTCATTTTGTCTCGATCTCCTTAGATTTATGTTTCTTCTCATTAAGAAAAAAAACCTAACAAAAAAAAACGTTTATGACGCATCAGTAGTAAATATTATCTTATAATTCAATGTTGAACAATATAATTGTGCAACTAACACGATGAGACAACAAACTAGATACAGCTTGTCAATCTTAAAAGCTCGTCTTCAAGATATCAAACATACGGAAATTTGATAAATCTTGCGAGTAGAGATGCAAATTGATTTCTGATAGGAATAAATTGTGTTATTAAAAAATCGATATTTATCAGTGGTTTAGTCTTATATCGTGATTTTGTTTACACAATCATAGTGTGAATATTCTAGAAAGGGTATTAAATATAAAGTATTCACCAAGTCAAATCAAATCAAATCTTTCGTTTTGATTTATTAAAATAAAATAAACACACGAATTAAAGCGTCTTGATCTAAATGTTTTCAAAATATAGTTGCTCGATTTCGACTGTGGTTCATATCAATTTTCCATAGATCGTATAAAAAACAAAAAGAAATCAAATATCAATTTTTATTATATTGAGTACGTCTATCTTCAGTACTTACACTCTTCCGGTTGTCAAAATGACTGTTCCTATTTTCATATATACGTATGGAAGCATCGTTGAAGACGTAGACTCTTCGCAGAAAGGAAAATATCTAATTCAAGTTTTTCACATAGTTTTAGTTATTCATATTCAGCCCGAATGAAGAATCTATGTGATAAAAGAAATTTTTTAATTGAAATAGAAGATAAAGTTTCCCTATCGTCTGCAATTCGTGGAAACCAATTGATTTTTAGTATTTGAAATATTCATATATGAAGATTATCTGTGCCAGTCTTTTTTCTAAATGCGTCATTAAAATTGTACATCTCACTATTTCGAACTACCATCATTGTACAATGTCGTGAACGTCTCCTCCAGCAAAAATTTTGTTTTTCTAAAATTGGTAATTACGCATGCAAGTTTACGCTGCCGATTTTATTCTGAAAAATATACGAGGAACCCTCTGGCATTCTGCTTCTCATTTTTTTCTAAAAATAATTTCTGATATATTATTTGTCATAAAAGTAGAATAAGTAAAATAGTCTGACATCAATAGCGATATTCTAGTCATTTTTGTTTTCATTATCTACAATCATATGGATGGCATTAAAAAACATAAGGTCAGCAAAAAGGTACGTTTATTCTTTTTCTCCCCTAGTTTTGACACCTGTAAATTTTCTCGCGTCCAAAGGTTAATAAAAGAATTGAAAATAATCGATTGATAATATCTTATATTTACACTTAATTTCAGTTAGGCGTTAACAAACATGAAATAGTCTCGAAACGGGTCCTATCAATAACATGATCAATTTATGTACTGCATCCTATGTGACGATCATGAAACCAATGGCAAACATGGAAAATAATATTACGAACGATTTAACTATCAATTCGCTTCATCACCTGTTGTATTTCTCATATTCAATGAGCCACCTAGAGCATATGTTGATGTCTATAACGTAAATGAGTGCTCATAGTGTTTACAAATAAAGTTCATATAAAAAAGTACATTCTCAGGCGGAACATGTTCGTTAGTTATTACTTATTTATCCATTATAAAAATCATTTTTTTCCACCTACTCACTCGCTTTTTCTCGATCCTTCTTTACTTCACTCTCTATGTCTGTCTGTCTGTCTCATAGTAGTATGTGCACATGTACATCATACATTTGAGCACAAAAAATATGCCTATGTATCGTTCTTTAGTTTCTTCGTTCGACATCGTTGACAAGAAAAGAGAAAAAAATACGGAAGAACGTACACTGATGAGGATTATTGTTTAGATGTGCATATAAGTGGAAAAAGAAATTTAGACGAAGAGAATAAAAAATGAAGAAAAAGAAAAATTGCTGTGCTGCTACGAAGACACTGAACCAGTCGTAGTGACGAGTGAGTATTAGCTGGTTGCTTTTAGGCAAATTTTATATTTCTCTGAAAAATAGAAAAATATTTTGTTGTGTACTCGACTGTTTTTTTCTTTTTTCTTTTCTGTTTTTTTGCTTTCATATTTCTTTGTCATTGCCGGTCATGATGATGTGTGCGAACTCGTAGATTTTCTCTATATAGTAAATAAAAAGAAAAAGAAAGCTATTACTCAACAAAAACAATTATTGCAACATTTTTCTTGCTTATAAGATTTCGCTTCTTTGAACATTTTTCGTAGACGTGTGAATTCTTCCAACTAACTGCATCGTGATCGTAATAGTAGAACTATTTATTTACATTAAGATTAATACGAATAGATATGAATGATGATAAAAATAATGACGATACATTATCGACGAATGCGTCACTAGAGCAACATGAAAATCTTCATGAACTATCGATCACACAACAACAATTATCGAACGGATGTGAATATACGACAGTTGCCAACAACAACACATCATCTAAACGACGAAAACTGATTTTACATTTTGATAATCGAAATACGTTACAAGTGAATTTATTTCTATTGATTTTTATATAATATTTGTGATTTTTTAAATATTTTCAAGGTTGCAAATAGTGTTTCTGCTACAACTATTGAACAAGGTTTGCCATAAGATTTTTACTTTTTTTGTATCATGCTTATTGGCATTTTCTATCGTGCGCTATTAACGAGATTGAACATTCAGAAATATTTAATAGCAATAAGCAGAAATCGATTGTAGTGATTTTTCCAGTAAATAGAGTATTGAAGTTTTTCTTTAATGTTTTGATGGTTCATTGCGAGAAAAGCTCAGGCTGGATAGAATAGGAAGACATGAATAAGTAATTTAGTCTTGAGACTAAGAAACGTGTGAGAAAATAATCGAAAATAGAGCAATGTCAGTCCTTTTCTTTTATACAACAAATGAATAAATAATTTGTTGATAATAATCGATTAACTATTATAATGAATTATTCAAAGTGCACAAATAAATTTCACAAAAGGTATTTTCAACATTTAGTTTATGAACATGAGCAACCGATAGTCGTTTGTCAACAACAAACGCGTGATTGTTGGAATAGTTGCTATAGACTAACAGAAAACTCTACTGTATATTGAAATTCTTTTCGAGATATACCCTTTTTTTGTCTCAGTAAAAGTTCATCAACTTACAGATGAATGAATTAATATGCCACATTTACAAAATAAGTCAGACTGCAAAGAGATTCAGGTAAGGAAGTATTTTGGAAAATATTCTTGTTGTTTTTTGTTCTTAATTTAGCAGCATCACATGTATATTTACCGATCTCAAATAGAGATAGTTTTGTTTCTGTTAAAACTATCTTGTTCGCCTCTCTAAATGTATTATTCATATTTAGACTGCTGTATTTAATTCAAAATTCGAATTAAGACCAAATTTAATAAAATCCGATAAGAATGTTATCTATGATAATGAATAGTAGCAAGGAATAGATATATGACTGTCTGTGTAGATTAGTACTCACTGACCAAAGTTTAATCGGTCTAATTGTTTTTATCTATGGTAATAGAAAGCTGAGAACAATTTTTATATCTAGTATCGAACATGTAAAACTATTCAACTTAATCAAAACGCTTACATTTAATGATAGAAGTTATTCAAAACATGTGTCGATAGAAATTCAGTGTTTTTTTTTTGTTAAACACGATTATTTTCGAAGACAAAATGACGTAGTTAGATACGCTGAGAAAAAAATAACGCTGTAACAATGAAAAATAAACGCATGAATAGTCTGCGTTTTTTATGATATCGACGTAAAAGATAACATATTTTTGAATGCAGTGCAATTTAACCTCGGTGTTCATACTTAACTGTGAAATAACACTTCAAGAGAAAAAAAATATGTATTAACACTTCAGAATATATATGTTTCAACAAGAAGAAACATAAAAGAAGTCCATCTAGTCGTTCGCACTTGAAAATATTCAAACGCGTTCCTTTCTTTCAATTTTCAATTACAACTTGTTGCCGTTACTACAGTAAAACATAAAAATAACATCATTACATCGGGAATATTGAGATGATAAAATTATTAAAATAGAAATAGAAAAATGTTGTTTTGAAAATGTCATAGGAAATAAATACATCATGGACCGAACAGATTCCATCGAATATCGTAGAATTCGATTTAGGAGTAACAAGGCAGTTAAACTTAAAGTACCTAAATATTCGTCTTGTTTTTCTTTATTATCTTGTGATGCTCTTAACTGATAGATTTATCTATCTATGATAATTTCTAACTATCTCTATTTTCATCGGTAATCATAGGAAAAATTCGATGAAACATTCACTTCGATTTTCTTCTTAAGCTACGTCTGACAGTGCAAAAAAATTTGATATTAGCGTTTCTTGTACGATGAAACATGATTATGTAGCTTCGCATTAGCTCAAATTACAATTCTATCGGTTTAAATCATGTTACGATATTAAATTTATCATAACTTTCGATCTTGAATAAATAGTATTTTTCCGTTTTGTTTTAGGCGTCAACAATTTTTTAACAGGTGTTCTTTGGGGATATGAAAATGATGCTGGCGAATGGTCTTGGATATCGGAATATCCAACTCTTCACAAACCAGAGCATTCATCAAGATGCATAACTTATTTTAAATATTTAGAGAATCAAATTGTTCGAGAAGCTATCGATAGAAAAGATTTACGTGCAAAAACGGGCAGTTTTGTACATAATGAAGGTGCACGTTTTCGGCCATATTACGATGCATTAATTGAATCATTGCGGTACAATAGATTAGGCGGTAGTGAACGAGAACGTGAAGATACAATATTAAATATTGAAGCATCACAAAGGCCAACAGAAAATGCCTCAGAATCACAACCAAAGACACAGCCGCATCAACAACCCGGAAATCCTGCACGTAAACGACGTTCATCAGTTTTACATAATGATGGAGTACCTGTAAATGGTTTTCGTTCAGCAAATGGTACACTTTATCATTACATATTACCATCATTTTTTCAGCTTATTCAATATTTACAAAAGACAAATCGCGATTTTGTTATTTATTTACGAACCATGGGTGATGATAGTAAAAATTTTCTTCGAAATGCTGAACGTATTCTTTCAAATGAACATCCATCATTTCAATTTAGTCATTGTCTTGATGTTAATCCTGAACCTGGTTGTATTGAGCGTCCCAAAGGCGAGCCAATACGTCTTCGAATGAAATTTCAAGAAGCTTCTGATACCGAAATCATAAACGATGAATTTGCGATTCACGAAAAACTAGAAAGTGGCTTTGGTATATACGCAATAAAAGATGATTTTACTGCATGGTTTCAAAAAAATTATCATTATACAAAATCAAAACCAGTATGGTTCGATCCCGATGATAGAAGTCCTCGTTCACATCATATATTATTTGATGATAATTTTCGTGTCATTGATCCACATGATTCTATTGTTGATATACGTATAATGAATAGAGAAAAACATCAATGTTATTCGTGTCCATTCGAATTTTATCCCGAACTTGAAAACATATTTGCTGTACAAGCAAATTTATATTTAATATTGGCTGATTCCAATTATTATGTAAAAACAATTGATGAATGTGAAAGAAATTTTGATAAACTACTTGAAAATACTCAATTATTAAGCAAAATTAAAGAAAAAAGCTCTATTCAAAATAACGATTAAAAAGAAAAACCTTATTTAAAATGTTTCTATTAACATTTTTTGTGATACCATTTTTTTTCTTGGTTTCTTTGTCAGATAAACAGAGCTGGTGTGTTTTTGTTTGCTTCTTTCTCGATTTTATTAATTATGGCTTTCTTTTCAAGTCTTGGTTGAACATGTTTGAATGTTGTCAATTCCAATTTTTTTAATTTCCTCAATATTCTTCATCAATGTACGTACCAAACATTTTATAAAACAAATTTGATGATTCTCAATGTTGTATATGCACACTTGGCAATGCGTCAGGATTTTTATCAACTTATTTGATGAACAGAGGTATTTTTCTCACGGTTTTTGTTTTGTTTTATATATACAATAAAATATTTTTTCCCTTTTTCCTATTTTTAAATGCAAGAAATAAACATCATTTTGTTTCTGTTAATAAAAGTAACTAAAGTTATGTTTGTGGAATGAATGGATGTGATAACGTCGAAAGAAAAAATGCCGAAAAATAAATGTCGAAGGAAAAATTGCCCAAGAACAAATGTCGAAGGAAAAAACGCCGAAAAAGAGAAATCCTTGAGAATATTTCGAAAGCATTGAGCTTCAAGATCTTCTGGTTCAAGTAGATGATTGGTAGGCATGCACCAAAACCAAAATTGGTTTGGAAATATAATCTTTTTCGGCATATCTCAAAAAGAAAAATAAAACCTCAAATCAAAACCAAATCTCACAATCAAAATTATATCAAAACCAAATGTTTTGGATTTGGTGTATGCCTAACGAGTACGCTGACCTTTAAAGTTAAAAAATTATTATTTGAATCAGTATGAACCTTGACTTTGTAATTCTTAGTTTTACAGCGCCAATATATCTGCGAAGATGTTTTTTTTATTGTTTATAAAAAAAAACTATTCCGAATCAATTGTCAATAACCGTTGTTAGAATCAAGAAAAGATATAGCACTCGTATTAGTGGGCATTAAACAGTCGAAAGAACTAAGTGATAATACTGCAAAACTGTACTGCAATATCTAAAAGCAAGCGAAACATATAGAAGATCATACAACAATGCTGTGATTGTATTCTTTGCTCTTTTGTAGTTCCTATCTGTACTACATTCTAGAATGTTCGCTCACAAAATTACTTATTGAGGAAAACTATTAGCTAATCAACGAAATTCTAATGAAAAATAGAAAATACAATAAAACACAATCAATTATTTTTTATAACGATATCTCACAATTTTCGACGTTGTATATGTTCGACATTTATTTTTCGATATCTCGCTTTCGGTATTTTTTCTTCCGACGTTTTCAATACATACCTGTGGAATGGTAATAACAAAAAAAAAGAACACGGCGAACATAATACTTTATCGAAGTTTGCAATGAGGAATTTCTCAGAGCAAATTAAAATGTCTTACAGAATTTTCGAATAATAAGTAAAAATGTCTCAATTATGAATTTCTTTAATTCTCTCGAAAATAGATAATACAAAGAAATAATTATTTTCGGTTTTGAAATATTAGACCTATCCTTTTTTGTGTACTCAAAAAGTGAGTACACTCTAGAATCGATCAGTGTGTCTGTCCGTCCGTAGGCACGATAACTTTCGAAAGGAGAGTCAGATTGCGATGAAATTTTCCACACAGTTCAATCTCATGAATATCTCGGTCGAGTTCGAAGATGAGAAGGATCCCTCAAGAAATGGTTGAGTTATCGAAAAAAAATGTCATTTTTGACCAGACCTTTCCTGGGGAGGGGTACATGGATTTTTTTCAAAAAACAAATTTTTCTCAGAATTATTCACAACATATATAGATCGACTCAGTTTTTAACGCTGATTCCGAATCTGATATTAGTTTTGAACTAAATTGTAGCTTTCTAACGAAACATCGCCTGGAAAACGTCTCAACATGCACAAAAACTGCATCCAAAAATCAAATTGTCCAGTTTCTCATGATAATTTTGGTTTTCAGACATTCTAGAATGATTCATATATTCCATGCACTTTTTGCAGTACACATAACTCTCGGATGAAATTCGAAGTTTCCACATTTATTTGTTAACTACATCCACTAGACGTATACGAATGGCATAGATCATGTTTTCGCTGAGAATATTCGACATTTTATAAATAGTACCATGAACAAACTTGAAAATTGAATCCACTTTTAATCTTTGAATAAGGGAAAACTTTAGAATCATGAAATCTGCAAAAACAAAAGCACTCACAGATATGATATAAACTCGAATCAACCAATAGAATAATCGAAGCTATATTTAGGACTTTGCTAAGATGTTCGACGGCATGAAAAGTAACATTACCCTATTGGTGTCACATCAATTACAATTTTTTACTCTGACATTAAAGACTTTTTCAATAGTAAATAACAACTTTGTTGTCGAATCTGGCTTATTATATCAATCGATTTTCTCATGTACTCATTGCCAAGTACAGATAAGGTAATTAATGATATCATTAAGAATCTATCATACACCATGTAAGATTTTGCAAGTTCAAGATTTAACCATATAGACAGTGTCAAAGAGGCTTTCTATTTGTTCGTCTCTCTTTACAATCAATATGACTTGGCGAATAAAATAAAAATCAAGTAAATAGGAAATTGTTACTGAAAAACAAATATTATTCTAGATGATTTTATATTAAAAAATATGCCTTCAATAATGAGTGCAATACGATTTAATACTCAAGCCTTGAACGACGTTCGTGTAATCATTGAAAAGAAAAACTTATTCTTTCGCGTTGCAAACAACAGCCGGATATGGAATTATGACTTGAACGATGAGATATGAAGAAGCGGATTGGTACTCGTGTTTTGACGCGATGCTACTAAAAATTGGTGGCATTCATGCCTTGCATGAGTTCTGCAACGAGCTAAAATATTGACGAAAAAGAATTAGCTTGTGTAACATACATTGAGCTGCGTTCACCAAATCTCGTTTTTTCTTGTCTTTATCCTTGAGAAAAGATAAAAATAGGGAGACAAAGAGGGGAAAAAAAGGAAAACACCAACAGATTATTCTACTCGAATAATAAAACAGATGTCTTGATTGAGTGAACAAATATTACATGGGACTGACAACCTTATATATTTATCTGTTTATATACTACATATATTCTGTAAATTAGCCGGATACAAAACAGCTAAAACAACAAGCGGATCAAATTAGTATTGATCATACGACATATTGAATTGTGCTCTGAAGGAATGGTTGCACTTTATCCTGCTTTATTATTGCAAAGTGCTGTGATGCTTGCAAAAAATCATAAAAATCATGATCTTGTCATATATCTTTGTGAATCCATAATTAGCGTGAATTGTTGCAATTATATTACTGGCTTCTGTAAAAACTTGGAATGTTCGTTCTTGTTTAGAGAAAAATTTAGTGACAAAGAGAGTGCAAGAGAAACGAAGACTTGCTTAACTCGATTGCAGGAATGTCTCTTCGCCTTCGCTCAATATATCAGAGATAGAAGTTAAGGATGACTGAGCGGAAAAAAGACGAGCGTGTCTGCGTGCGAACAAGCAGAAAAAAAATAAAAGAAGAAGATACGAAGAAGACCAGTAACCCTGAACAGTAATCATTGAGCATCATTCCAGTGTGCATCGCCTGATAGACGTGATTGCGCGACGACAATGAGGAGAACTATGACGAGAGCGGCGACGAAAAAAAATACTAGTAATAGTGATCTGCTGTTTTAGATAAAAAGATAGATCGATAGATAGAGATATACACATACCGAGACAGAATCGAGAGTGCAAGAACGAGCGGTAAAGAAGAATACAAAGAATAAAACAAAACAAAAAAGAAGAATGAAAACAGAACTATATATCGAGGATGGATTATGGTTTCATTGATGTCACGGATTATTGAATAGTGAGTATACGATCAAGTATAGATTAGTACCGATTAGAAAATAAATTGGCCAGTCCTTACTACAGAAGTTCTTTTTCTTGTGATTATTACTAATGTTTCATTTTTCTGATTTTCTTCTATAGGCTTTATTCTTTTTTGTTATTAAAAAAAACAACAAAAACAAAAAACAATGCAGTTTTGCAATGGCTCCTGATGTTCTATCAACGTTTCCATTCGAATTTATATATACTTCATCAAGATCGATGTGCCCGTTACGTCATGCCATCATAGAAACTTTTATTCTTGATCTATTATATTTTTATCTGTTGCCTTGCTACCGTCGTCCTCTGTTATTTCTATTATCATCTCGATGTTCGAGCAACTTTATATACTGTCTCAGTACGGAACCAAACGTCTTTTGATCCTCGTTTTTGTCATCGTGTGGCTATTTGCTACTATCCCGCATTCTCATTTTGCTATGTGTTATTTTAATCGTTTATCAGGTATATTTCTTTTACAATATCACCAATGTTCAAGGTGTATATGCGATCGTTTTCCTATTTTGAGAATAGAATCATGAAAACACGGCAGTACTTAGGAATTATGACGTTCAAAATCTTTAAATATCCATAGAGAATTTTATTGACTATGCTACAGATCTCAAGAGACCATATTGTTTTTCTGTAATTTTGAATTTAACTAAATTAGTATATCCCGAAATTCATATTAATAATCTGAATACAATATGTTATGTAAAAACAAACGACTCTATGGTATTTAGATCGAAGAAACTAGGGGATCGATTTGATTGTCATTAATTAGCAAAATGAAAACAGTTAGATATAAGTTTAATCCCATAAGATTTGAATATTTAAATGTACTCTTGAAAATTTTCAAAACAAGATAAAATATTCAAAATCCTATTTAGATGTCTTAAAAAGAAACAACTTATTAAACATTTTCATTTTCTAGCTATTTCACCTGCATCTGAAACTCAAATCGCAATTGGCGCTTTCTTTTCATTGCATAATCCTCCAGCATCACATGGGGGTGGCCGTTTACGAGAATGGTAACTATTGATCATTTGAAGAAAACAAAAAGAAGAAGATAATATTGAATATTTTTAGTGGTGATATTCGTGAAGACTATGGTATTCATCGAGTAGAAGGCACATTCTGGATTCTTGATCAAAGTAGAAAATAAATTTTTGCTTTTCTAATTGATAATTCTATTTTTGTTTCCATAGTCAATGCAAATCAAGCGATATTACCCAATGTTAATATTGGATATCAAATTCGTGATTCGTGTTGGTATGCGCCTGTTGCTCTTGAACAAACTATTGAATTTATTGGTAATTCAGTATTAACTGCAGCAGATTTATCGGCAAACTCTAATGGAAATCGAGCTCAATTAGCTGCTATTATTGGTCCTGGTGACAGTTCGATTACGATGCAAACACATAATATATTACAATTATTTGAAATGCCACAAATCGGTTATTCAGCTACAGCAAAACAATTGAGTGATAAAGAAAAATACAAATATTTTACACGTGTTATCGCATCAGATACTCAGCAAGCACAAGCAATCGTTGACATTATTCGGCAATTTCAATGGAGTTACGTTGCTACAATTGGCACTGAAGGTAAAGCATAGAAAACTAAAACGCATAGCAATATTCTTTTGTTGTTACAAATAATTTTAATTCGAATAGGTGATTATGGTCGTGGTGGTGTAGAAGCTATCCGTCGTCTACTTAATAAAGATGCATGTATTGGTGCAGATTTAACTATGGTAAATGAGGCTAATATTTATTTTTAATATTTCACTCGTTCTTTATTTTTGCTAGCCCATCGGTGCAAATATAACAGTTGCTGTTCACCTAATTTCACAGCTTGCTGCACGTGCACCTCATGTACAAGTACTTGTATGTTTTTGTCTTGACCATTCTATTCGAGCCATTTTACAAGCAGTCAAGGAATTAAATTATACACAACGATTTGTTATTGTTGCCAGGTAATTGAATTATTGTCGAGAGTTTTTTTCGAACTCGAGTCTCTCAAATTTTTGTTTATGATCGTTACATTAATTAAGTTGAAATGGGATCACTTTTGACATCTCTTAATTTATCTTATGACACTATCTTATTTCTATTGATCGTTTTAGTGATGCTTGGGCAGATCGTCTTAATGTAATACCAAACAATACTGAACCTGTAGCACTAGGCGCCATTACCGTAAGATCGATAATCTTTTTCTAAACAGATCTATTATGAAATGCATATGTTTCTCTAAAGATTAAAGCTCGTTCATTGCGTGTACCTGGCTTTGAACAATATTTTCGTAATTTACATGTACACAATAATACACGAAATGTTTGGTTTCGTGAATATTGGCAACAGAAATTTGCGTGTGCATTAATTGGTTACGATGATAGTAATAATAATACTCGACGATTGAATAAATATTCTCGTACATGTGTACCCGAACATGAAAGTCTTAAGAAAGTACCTTATAATGAAGATCCGAAACTTGCATTTGTAATCAATTCAATATTAGCTGTTGTACATGGTCTAGATAAAATGCATAAGCAAGTTTGCAATGGAACGAGTGGTCTGTGTGCTGATATGACTCGTATGAATTCATCGTTATTAATGCATTTTTTAAAAAGCAGCCGATTTACAGGAATAACTGGTAGAAATCAGAAATAGGATAGATTAGAATAACTAGAAAATATTTTCTGTTTTTTAATATTAGGCGAAGAAGTCTTTTTTGATGAAAATGGTGATGGACCTGGAAGGTAGGACAAAAAGAGAAAGAAGAAGAAAATTATTAATTTTTATCATTTATTTTTGTTTATATAAGATATGATGTCCTAAATCTACAAGGAAATGCAGATAGAAATGCAGATACATTCGATCATAGTCTTCATTATGTTCAAGTTGGAACGTGGAGTACAGGAAAATTAAATTTAAATACATCAATAATACGATTTTTTTCTGATCAACGTCCATTGGAAAAACTGAATGTTCGCCGTTTTTGTAGTGAATCTTGTAAAAGTGGTTTTGTTAAGGTTATTATTGTTCATGTTCCGTAGATAAATTGTAACAAATTTTATTTCATTTTAGAAATATACCGATGATGAAAAATGCTGTTGGAAATGTCATTCATGTGGTGATGCTATTGTACTTGATGAAACAACATGTTTTACTTGTCCTGCTGGATTTTGGCCTAATGAAGACCATACTGGTTCGTAGATCTATGCAATTCTTGTTCTTTTATTAGTCGACAATTGATTTACTCTGTTTTGATACCGAATTTTTCATTTTTCTTCTTGTTAAATGTAGCGTGTGGTCTTCTACCAATTACAACAATAAATTTTCATCACCCATTATCAATTATAATCTGTTTGGTGGCTGCTATTGGTATCCTGATAAGTTTTTTTGTTCTTTATATATTCATGCGCTTCAATGCAACACCAGTTGTTAAATCGACCACAAGAGAATTAAGTTATTTAATATTAATGGGTATTTTATTTTGTCATTTGACAGCATTTGTTATTTTACAAAAGCCATCCTTTATAATATGCGTATTAACACGTTTATTACCTGGTATATCATTTTCGATGATATACGGCTCATTGGTAACAAAAACGAATCGTATAGCGCGTATATTAGCACGTAGTAAAAAGAAAATAATAACACGACGCTTAAAATTCATGAGTGCAAGACATCAACTTGCCATTGCTTGTTTTATACTTGTCACGGAAGTCACGATTGTTGGTAAGCAATGTTTTCGATGAATAAAAATGACGGTTTTCTTTCTCGTGTGCATATATTTTTAGGTGTGACTGTTTATCGAGATCCGCCAAAAGCTGTTTTAATTGAAACAGGTGGACGTTTATTACTTACATGTAAGCGAATTTGGGTTCTTTGAGATGATTAGTGTTTTGAAATTTAATTGACCTTTACTATTAGGTAAAAAATCACTGCAAGGCATTGTAGCTCCCCTTGGTTTTGATGGTCTTCTCGTTTTTTTATGTACACTTTACGCTGTATGTAGTATTTTAGCTATGTATTAGTTATTTGATTCTAAAACGACTTCTTTTTTACAGATCAAAACAAGAAATCTACCAGAAAATTTCAATGGTAAGTCATTTGGTGAAAATCACTAATAAAATTCTCTGTATGAAAAGAGAAACAAAGAGAATTATTTGACAGTCATATAATTTTTTATGAGAGAAATAGTTTAATATCATTTTTGTTGCTCATGAATTTTTCTTTTTAATATTAATAGAAGCGAAATTTATTGGCTTTTCAATGTATACAACATGTGTTATATGGTTAGCATTTGCAGCCGTATATTTTGCTATTGAGGTTAAAGTGTTTTCATTATGTGTTGCAACCAATGCAAGTGCTTATGTTGTACTCATATTTCTGTTTTTTCCAAAACTTTACTTAATTATATTTAAACCAGAAAAAAATCAACGAAGGTAAAATTTCTACATTGATCAATTCTCTTTTCTTTATCTCTTAAAAATGTTCTACTATTTTTTTCTTTTCAGTGCGTTTGCAACAAATAAAGATATTCGTTGTCATTTCGGTTCATCGACAACATCTAAAAGTGACATGTCATCTTATCGTTATAGTGAAGGTTCATCATTATTTCGTAAATCAGTTTTACATCGTATTCGTTTTGGTAATACACTACGATTAAAAGCTGAATTTATTAATTCAACTGCATCATCACTACGTACAAACGATTTTCCTGGTAGTGATCGTCGTCCATCACGTTCTCTCTCGGCGTATCCAGATCAATGGACACATCATCATCATCACCATCGGCGTTTGTCGAATGCACCACAACTAGAAATAGCAACAGCCAGCACAGACGATTTATGTTACCGTACAGATATTTTAAATCAGAAAACATCAAATAATATCACAGACGTACTAGCGATAGATTTAACATCTATTCCTTCACCACCAGCTCCGACACCGGTACTATCTGCAAGCTCTTTAGCAGCTTCAGCTATTATTAATGATCTTGATCATGATGAAAAAGAATCGATGATTGAACAAAAACAACAACAACAGCCAGTCGCACATTTTCCTGACTGTGTTTATGCAATAACTCAACCGAACAATGTGAATTCTCTCGGACCTAATGATGTTCTTCGACAACGTGGTCGAAGTAAACGTAAAAAGAGTAATTCTGATTCAACAAATGATATTGAAAGTGAATCATCCAGTCTATGGACAAATGACGCTGTTGGAATACATTCAATTCAAAACCCAACCAAAAACCCTGATACTGTTTGTGCATGCCAATTGTTATGGCAATTAGAGCGAGAAACGGATAGTATCGATAAATTTAAATTATTTTTTAAACGCGATCATTTAAATGTCGATTGGGATTATGTACAAGGTTCGAGTGAAGTTTAAATCAAGCAGATATCTACTATTGTGTCGAACTTCGTTTTTTCTCCTTGTTCTTTCTTTCTATTGTGTATTTACAAGCATGAAGACGTCTATGTATATGTATATATATATATATATATATTATAATTTTTTTTTCTTTCGTTCAAATGTATCCAATGTTTATTTCGAGTTATTCGTTCATCAGGAAACAAAACATAGATTAATTTAAGATTTAAAATCTTCTATTATCTGTGTGTATTAATTATGATAGAATTCAAATACCATTCATTAGTAAAAAATAGTATCTATTTTTTCGAGCATGATTAAATATAATCCAGAAGGAAATTCTAAGTCAAATCGTGCGAACGTTCGATACTCTAGTCACACCCATTCTCATAAATAATTAGTTCTTTTAAATAATTTTTGCCTATAAATTCAACAACCATCTTTTATTGTAAGCTTTAAATATTTTGATAATTAACAGAATAAAAACTTTTGTTTGACGTCTTATTATTATTATTTTGGCCTTTTTTTCTCACAGTTTTAATCGCAATAATAATAATAATAGAAGAAAAAAAGAGAAAATTTGTCGTTGAACGTTCTGTTTTTTTTTCTGATAGCCTAAATGACAAAGAAACAAATTGCAAATCACAGGCAAGCACATTGTTTGACAATTATATCTTTAATAGGATGAATTTCAAGGCTACCATCCATTTGTCGAAGAAGAAAATTGTCGTCAGCAAATTTTGATGGTACACATGTAGTTTGTGGAATATTAGTTATTTTTCTATTGAGAATGGATTTTAAAAGTGCGTGCATTGATGTTTGCGATTGCTGTTGCAGTGTTGAATAGGAACAAGAGCCATCACAATAGGTAAATTTATATTCTTTTGGTCGAATAATTAAATAAGCTAAGCCAAGATCTTCAAATTTAATTTGAACTGTTTTTAATTTACACAGCGATGATGATTTATCAGTTTGTGTTTCCTTTAGTTGATAAGTATCCAATGAAAATTTAGAATTGGATTTTAATGCTTGATTCGATTTTGATCGAATAGTGGTGGCCGACGATATTATTATATATGTACTTGATGTTTGACATGTTTGATTATTTATCAGTGATTCAATAATTAAGCTTTGATTATTTATTTGAACTATATATTGATAAATATTAACAACATAAAAGTCTCGATCAGAATCAAATTGTAGATGAGTATTTATTGTGAAAAATTCTTTCGAAGTTTGCGAGTGTTTAAATCGTATTTGTACCGGAATTGAAAATCGACTTATCTCTGCTGTATCAATATGATAGATAAGTTCAATGGTTGTTAAATATTCGATGGAATGAGACCAGATAAATGTTGATTGAACTTGTTTATCAACAGCAAAACAATTACTTGATTGTAAAGTAAACATAGGACTGTATGATGATGATGATGTATCATCATTTGAACGTTTTCTTCTTGTATTTTTAACTATACAATAAAATTTAATGAGAAATTTAATACAAAAAAAAAACAAGTCTTTTTTTCTTATGAGCTATATATTCTTGATGATGTTTATTCTACTTATCAACGATTGATTTAAGATTTATTTTGTTTTTACAAAATATTAAAAAAAATTAAAACATGATTCAAAGGCTCGAATATGACTAAATGGAACTTTGTTTCATAGAGAGGTATTCAGTTAGAAATATTGTTTAACTCGTTGTCCTTTCTCTCTCTCTCTCTCTCGCGCGCGCGCGCCCGCTAAGTTTTTATAGCTTTGAGCTAGTCCTCTTTTTTCTCTCCTTGAGCGTATTTGATCTACGATTTCTTACCTTGTATGGATCTACTGGTTATATGATGACTGTAAACCATTGAGCGAACAAGAGACGTATGCGATATGTTCAGTAAATCAATAAAATATTGTCTTAGTATAAAATTACGATATGAACTATTCGACATTAATTCAAATTGATTAGAAGAAGATAAATAATTGTATGTCGGAATGGTAGCGGAATGAGATGAACAAAACAAATGAATGATAATAATAAAACAAAGAATGGAAAGCTTGAATGGAGAATTTTGCCGAATGCTAATTCGATTCAACAATGATTCGGTAAACATTTCACTGATGTGTTCATTCGATAAAAACAACTGCTCAGCTGCTGTTGTTGGTTAGATTTTGTTAAAATAGCAGAATATATATTCATCATCATCATCACGAAAACGAGGACGCATGAGTGACTAGGAATTTTGATTGCAATCAAAATTCTTTCGAAGCTTTCATTTGACAAGATAATATGAATCAAACAACTAAATATAAACAAAATAAAACAGTAACGACATAAATATGGATAGATATAATAATAATAAAAAATGAAATGGCGATATCACCACTGACGATGATGAAATATAAACATGTTGAAAAGGAAAAGCAATTTTTTTAATTTCTGTAAGACACAATATGCAATATGATATTTAGAAAAATCTTCCACGAGAAAGACGTCGAATGATATTTGCTTATCGGATAGAAGAACATATATATATATACGCTTGGTTTGTGTGAAGTTATTCGAAGACGAAACATGAAATGAGGCATTTGTTTTTTTTTCCATCATTCTTCTGTTCTTTTCTGCATTCTTTCTTTACTCAGTCTTGTACAACCAACATTCCAGTTTATAATCAGCATGAAGCTCATCAAGTGCATTTAATTTTTTGTTTAAAAATTGACGATGCATCCGAATGATGAAGATATTATCATAGAGAAAAATGTCGAATGCTCATTTTAACTCGATCGATCAATCATATGTGTTCATCGTGTTGAGTTATGTACTCAATCAATTACGGACACTACTGTTAAAGCCATTGGCAACTAATTAATGTATCTCTTCCGGCTTAAGAAAAAGAAAAAACGAGGAACACAACTGAGTTCGCTTTAGTCAAATATAAAATACATTTTCAAAAGCTGACTCTAAACATTTCGCTTACCTAACTTTTTTTTGTCGGTCGAAAGCGTGTTGCCTATCGATCAGACGAAAAGAAAAGTGAAGGCTTTCTTTTTGGTGTCGAAAAATTAATTCTATTACAGTATAAAATGTATAAGATAGAGAATCATAGGAGTGTACGTGCCATGAAAATTTGAAACCAGCACGAAATAATAAGTGCAAATGCTGATATGTAGCTGTATTATGCGTGCTGTCATTTGCTATCTTCTTTTTTCTTGTGCAATGGATGAGGCCCCACCCCTGGCCAATATTATTCTTTGTGTTTGTTTCAGAACACAAGAGCATGATATCAAAAAATGCTGCTATACTTTTTTCTTTTTGTTTTATGCCTTCTTTTTTATTTCTCTGAATGCCATTGGTATAGTGCATCATCAAAGATACGAAAAAACGCCTGATCTTCATCACGCTTTTCGAAAAAGAAACATATATCGAATTGTGAGTACGTGCGTATTTAGTATCTATGCAGTCAAAGTGCAAAAAATAATAACGATGATGAAATAGACCGAAGTGCTCAGCAATCTATTCTACGGAATAAAGCGAATACTTTTCTTTTGATAGTCATTTATTTTCTAAGAAACAAAAAAACAATTAATTAACTATAAGAAAATCTAATCGTGTTCATAGATGGAAATTTTGGTGACACTTATTGAATAGCGCTTATTTAAATAATCGTCGTATGCTATAAACTTGAGTTGCTGAACATACAATCATTGTTATGATTTGCCATATAGCCCAATATTGAACATAACTTGCATTCGCTTCGACTGCGTACATATCATGTAGATGTTGGACTCGTGCTACTGTTTGGTAAGCAGAAAGACGATAGAGTCTACCTGAAATATTATTTAGTGAACTCTAACAGAATAAAAAACAAAACTGATAAATATCATAATATCAAGTCAACCAGGTTTACCATAACACTCGTGGAAAATTCGTCTAAGAAAGAAGTTGCATTCGCTTTTTTTTCATCAGCTACGTCTACACTAGCTTCGCTAATAAAATCTTGATGAACTGCAAGAACAGCTAAATAAAGAGTTTTGGCTGCAAAATATTCTTCATTTTTGAAACACATTCGATAAACACCTGGAACAGAAAACGTGCTTATGAAATGAAAAACAATCGATTTTCCTTACCTGGAATTACTACATAGTCTTGATTGTACCAACCGAACTGATGATTAGGTTGAGAATATATTATAGTGTTTAACGGATCAGTTATTATCGCTCGCATAACAGAATTGCCACCTTTAAGTACTTGATAAATGACATGAATTGTATCATTCAATTTGACTGGGAGATAAAAGCATTCTTCCGTATTGTCTGATATGATAATGCGAAATATATTCCAATGATCTGAAAAATTTTAAATTATTCATTCAATAGAGAAAATGTTGAAAATATTTTACCAACAGTTTGCAAAGCAGCTAAAGCACTCTCTTCGATATAGGCCGATGTAGAAGAAACCAATACAAGTAATACGAAAAGCGTCTTCATTTTACGATCTTCTTCTTCTTGTCATTAATAATCTTTTTTTTAAATATTTCCATTCGTTGTCACTTCTGAGAGTATGACCATATGTTAACATAGAAGAGATAAGAAATATCGTACCGGGTTGATATGTGATCATAATTGAATGATATAAAATTTTTGCATTCAATAGCATAAAAATAAAAACAAAAATTAGCAATTAGAGTAGACGAAAATTATGCAAATCAATTTTGTCTATCATGGCTAGACATCTATGTTAACAATGATGAATTTATTGTCTGACTAAAAATTTATTGAAAACAAAAAATGTGATAAGTAAGCGTTTTACATCAAGAGTGTGAATAATCTTGAATAAGAATTAAATAGATAGATGTATTCTACTTTATCAGGTATTCAAGATACGCACCATTATTATTTCTAGAGTTTTATCTATCCTAAAAAAAGAAAAAATTCAAAGAGTTGAAGATGTTGATCTTTTTAGTTAAACTTAATTTATAGAGTAGCTCCTATTGAATCACTCTTACTAATCTAACTTACAGTTAGTTGTCGATAGTGAATTCATGCATTATGGTGTCATCTGTGATTTAATCGAAAAAAATCATTATAATCTATGTTAAATGTTGATTTCTAATTCTTATTGTGTTTTGCTCTTATTAATTGTTGATTTAATGAGAAGTCCCATGTGATAGAAGTTTTTCAACGTTCACACTGTTATAGATAATTTATTTCATTGTATCATGGAAGACAAAGAGAAGTTGTCGCTGTCAGATGACTATTTGAAGAGTGTGAATCTTTCTTAATAATCGCAACATAGTTATATTGATAAGTTTCGAAAGTGTAAAATCCGATTGATAATGATAATTAAAATTTGGTTTGCATCTCTGCAAACGCTTGATCTATCATGAAATTACTCAAGATTTTACAGTGTTAACTTTGGATATTATATGTAAGTTCTTCGTAAATTGTTGTTGTTGTTTCCATTTGGAAACCAATTGAAATTTCAATATGACATCAATCATTATCAAAATAAATCTGTTGCGTCGTAATTATGATTTATTTCAAAACTTTTCGAATAAAGTCGAATATAAAGCTACTATAAAATTTATTACAGATAAAACATCACTCTCTTCATACAATAGAATATCTATTGATGAGTCGTTGGTAAAAGTCACCAGCTCACATATAAAAATCCTAATACACCGAAAAACATGGATCCACATATCTGGAATGAATGCTATTTGACAAAACATATCATATATAGTGTGCGAGCTAGACCAAGTTAGTTACTCGTTAATCGTATCACACAGGGATTATGCATTGATGCAGAATTTCTTTTAATGATTTCAGAAATTTCTTTCAAAGCTGAGTCTATATTATCAATGTCATCACAGCTCATAATTTCAGATGTTTCAATGTAGATTTCCTCTATGTTTGCCGCCGATGAAGAAGAGTGCATTTCAAGTCTGCTCGCAGTTGGCAAAGTGTTTATCAATTGTTGTGGTGCCAATTCTCCGCGATTAAAAGCTTCTAAAATAGTACCCATGCAAATATCTTCATTTATTTTGGTACTTCATCAATTACCTGTGTCTTCTCTATTACTGCATCCGACTGTGTTTTCTTTCTTACCACCTATATGTTTTATTTGTTTTTGAAGAATTACACAAGCCATTAATAGATCAATATCACTCGCAAAATCATCATCTGTAATAGATGAATAAGATGAACTAATTTTAATTTCAATGAAAATAGCAAGAGACGTTGTCTATTTACGTTTTAATCGAAGCTGATCATCCCAACATCTTTTGATAATTGACAGTTTGAAATTTTGATTTAGAAGCCTTTGTGATATCGGCAAATCGAGGTGTGCAGCGACGAGCCGTGGCAAAGTACTCTCATCTGGCATCAACAAAGATTGTTTGCTTGAGTTTAGAGAATTCATTGATGACCCATTGGTTGCATCATTCGCTCTCGCTTTCTCTAAAATAAAGTCTATCATTTTCACTTTTGCCAAATAAGATACAAGAAAATACCT